AAAATACATTCCTTGCTAAATTCATTTGGGTTATATTACCCACTTTCTCTCCACGAAGAACGCTGGTAGTTTTACCCTCTCATTTTCCTTCCTGAGAAGTAGAGGAATTTGGATATAAAATTGAACTAAGGTCTGAAAGCCATTTGAGTTTGAAGAAGGTACAAGGACGTTCCACACAGGTCATGTCAGCTGCAATGGGCTGAACATCACAAACAAGAACCATCCAGAAACTTCAGTGTTCACCCCTGGATCAGTGCAGCCGCTTTGGCACTTATTAACAAATATCCCTGTCCAGATTCTGCTGCTGAGGGCACCCCAAGCTGTTGCCATGCACATTTGGCTTGGGACACCGGTGACAAACTGTGCACACATAGAGTGGCATAGGGGAAAGTGCTGGATGGGCACAATAACTCACTTTTCCCAGGGCAAGACTGCATAAACTTGGATATTGTGGCAAATAAATAATGCAGCAGAGGCATCAAATTGTGCCCAGTCACAGCTGCAGCCTCGCCTGCCATCCATCCATCCATCCACCTTTCATCTTTGTTTCCTGCCTCCTGCCATGGAAATTAGAAATTGCCAGCAAGGCAGAGCACAGGACTGTGAGATTGCTGTGGGGAAATGACCTCCAGCTCACCCACACACATCCTACAGATCTGCCCCTGCCTCCCTCAGTGCACTGGGAGCTGTGCTCAGCCTGGCACAGATATCCCAACAGAGACAGAAATCCCTTCTGAGCAGAGGAAATCAAACCACTGCTACCAACCCTTTAAACCAGTTGCTCCAGTGTCATGATTTTATCTTCTAACATCTGAGAAAGAATGGTGTAAATTATTTACCACAACAGCATAAAATTATAGCCTTCTGTGGCACACAGTCTGAAATTATGCTGCAAGGCCAGTCCATTTGATTGTGTAGTTGATATCTCGTTGGAAAAAATCCAAATATTATTTCTCTTCTTTAGCAAAGTCGTTATGTGGATTGAATTTGGGCCAATATGTGCATTCAGCAGCTATCTTGCCTTAACCTTTTGCTGTAATTTACTTATGACAGAACTGTCTTTGCAATGCTATGGATAAGCTACAGCAAGGGCCTCATTCTATTTTAGGGGCTCTAAGTCCACTAGTTAATTTTATTTCACTACAAGTAAATAAATCCAAAAAGAAATACAAACATACACTCAGATATCGTGTCAACACACATTCAGAGAACCTGTTAGAGAAAACACTAAAATAGTGTATGACTCTTCAACTAAATCAGTCCCAAGAAATCTCTTCAAGCTAATCCAAAATTAATCATTTGCATTACAATAAAATAGTGTCCTTTTATCTTAAACACTCACAAGCTTCACACAGCTTACCCAATATTGGGGCAAAGACAGAGCCACTGTGACACCAAAGGAGGCTACAGTCATCTGCTCCTTATTGTTCTTCAGCACAACCTTCTATTCCCTTCATCTCACACACCCTGCCCCTGTGTGCCCTCTGCTCCCTGTGTGATTGCTCAGCACCCCTGGGCACTCCATGGCTGCTCACCTTCAATAGCATTCACCTGTCCTGCACAGCTGCAGCCAGTCTGGGATCAGCCACAGCCCCACTCCAAGCACCACAAACTCTGTGCCTACAACACTTGCCCTCCCCTTTTTTTTTTCTCCTTCTTTTCAATAAATGCCATGTCTGCCATCCTCCTAGAGGGCCCTTGCAGAAGAAACAGCAAATATGGTACAAGTATCCCTTGTGCAGGCTCCACTGACTTTGGACTCTGTCCTGACCTTGATTCACTCCCCAAAATTACATTTCACATCATCAAAGTACTCATACTGACACTTCTAGAATACTGACAATATTGACAATATCAGTAGCAGTACAAGTTTATAAAGCAACACACAAGAATAACAGAATTCAAGAATTCCATCCACAGCCACACAACTTCATAAAGTAGCACACAAGAATAAGACAGAATCTGCATGTTCCCATCCTAAGAAGTGCAATTCACAAGCACAGTACACAGATTTTACCAGCAAAGAAACACGTGGCACTGAACAACAGAGCCACTCTGCCTCTAGCTCCTCCTGCTGCTCTAACAACTTCTCTTGCTCCTTTCACAGTTTTTGTTGCATTAGATGGTCTGAAGTTGTTGGGACCCAGGACATTGCTCTGGCTGCCCTGGGTGATGGGAGACCCTGGCAGGGGCTCAGAGATCTTGGCACGGAGTCACAAACACCTGTGCCTTCAATGTTAGCCCATGGAAACAATTCCCAACTTTGTGAGAAGATTTACAAGCCACAAGAGTTTGAGTAGAATGATAGTGAATTTGTCACAGGGTGAAAAAGTAGCATTTTGGGGATAGAATGGGGATTCAAGAGGCAAGATGGAGGAATCTGGTCATGTCCTGTCCTTCTCCTTCTTCTTATCCTTAACCTTCTGCTGTGATGGTGGCACTTTTGAATTGGTTTAGAGTAGAGACAGGCTGTCTAACATAGGTGATAGGTATTGGAATATTATTGTAAATAAAGTACACATGGTTCTTAGTATAAAAAGCTAAGACCACCCCAAGGGCAGTCACTGTGTCACAAACCAACCTGCTGGACAGACCTCAGTGGGTCAGAGAAAGAATGTAACAGATAAGGGAAAATAAACAACCTTGAAAAGCAGAACTGAGGAATCTCAACTCTTCTTTGGTTGCAGGGCTGGAAAAAGAGACTTTCTAACACCTTGGGGCCACCTTAACCACAGAAACCCAAGATGAAGTTACTTCCCATGGTGTTCCCAGCAGCTCACCTGTGCTCCAGGTGCCAAATCCAGCCTGGTCCACTGGGCAGTGTCCCCCCACTGCTCTCAAGGCTACTCTGGGGTGCGTCTCCACCTCGCCCTACAGCAAAACCCCAAATCCTGCTGGGGCCACCATGATAGGGGAACCACAGGGGAGCCAACACCAAAGAGGGCTTTGAGCATCTGCTCACAACCTTTTATCCCCTCCTGCTGATGCACAGCACCTGTGTGATTGCTCAGCACCCCTGGGCACTCCATGGCTCATTACCCTCAATAGCATTCACCTGTCCAGCACAGCTGCACCCACTGCTCCCAATCACCAGACTCTGTGCCTAAAACATCATCATTACAGACAAAGATGGACACAGAGTTCTACATCCTGAAGAAAATGTGCAGACTTCTGTGTGCTGCTGCTTACCAGAAACACAGTTTGAGGTTCCATGTGTTTTACAGACACCAGACTTCTTCTAAATGCACACAGTCAAATTAAGACTTTGTGAAAGCCTAAATGCAAACACAAACCAAATAATCTCTAAGTGCAGCTGTAAGGTGTTGCAGTCTTGTCAGCATTTGCCACTACCTAGAAAGAACAGACACAGGCATATTGTAGAAACTGATTCACTCAAAGTAATGGTACAAGTAATGTATTAGGTATAAACTTGGTATGAAATAGTTTAGTACTTTTTACAACTTGCTCTGAAGAAATTAAAATATAATATTAAGCCTAGAACAAGAATCAATAGAACATACATTCCAGAATGTGACTTGGCGTGTTTTCTTACCTCATAAATTTTATAATGTGCAATATACTTTTTAATACTGTAACTTTTTAAGGATAAAAAGGTATTTCTCACGGTGATACAACAGGAAAAATAAGTCTTCTTTAGTTCTGCCTTTTCCTTTTCATCATTAATAACAGAATTGTTGAGACTGGAATGGACTTCTAGAAATAGTCTAATCCAAGTCTGTTGTTCAAAAGAGGGTCAACTGGAGAAGGTTTCTCAGGGCTATGTCAAGTTTTGAGTATATCCAAGAATGGAAACTCCACAACATCACTGGGCAATTTGTTCCAGCGTTCGATGACTCCTCCTGTTAACATTTTTGCCCCCTGTTTAAATGTAATTTCTGGTACTTTGATTTCCACTCCCTGCCTCTTCTCCTCTTGCTGGCCACTACTGAGGAGGGTCTGCGCTCTCTCTCCAGGCCCCAGGTATTTACAGACATTGCTCAGACACTACTGAAGTTTCCTTCATGCTGAACAGTCACAGCTCTCCCAGCTTCTGAGACAGATGCATTCTTGTCAGATGCTGCAATCCTTTAATCATCTTTGTGGCCCTTCCCTGAGCTTGCTCCAGAGCATCACTGTCACTCTTTGCCGGGCACATTGCTGCCCAGGAATGGGCCCAGCACTCCAAGTGTGGTCTCACATAGTTATGGTACAAAGGACAGACTCATCCCTTTGTGGGCTCTTCCTCGGCAGCCCAGGAGCTGCTGGCTGGACTCACCCCATCCATCACCAGCTCAGGTGACTGAGGTGAGGCTGGGCTGGCCTGCAGCTCTGCATCCACACCCCTCCTGAAGGCTGGCCTGACATTGGCTTCCTTCGAGCTCTCAGCAGCCTCCCCTCGTCACCAGACCTCTCAAAGATAATGCAGAGTATCCTTACAGTGACATCTGGCACTTCCTCAGCATGCTCAGGTGCACCTGACCAAAGCCCACAGATCTGTGCATGTCATCACTGGCCCCAAACTTCCCACCCCTGAGCAGCTCTCCCTGGTTTGTGCAGATCAGGGCCAGCCAAGAGCCTGTGCTTCCCTCAAGAGCCTGCATCCATTCCTTGCAGCACTCCAGCCATCCTACTGATCTCTGGAATCCAGGGACATGATAACCCTGGAACTGGGGCAGGCCAATTGCTTCTGCATTAAGCCAAGAACTGTTTTAAAATCTGTTACTAATTAAAACAAAACAATTTGTTACAAATTATATTTAAAATAACCTAGTTAATATTATTGCCCAAAAGAATAATTACATATACAAAAGTACTCCCTCAACAACAAGAGAGGAAAGGAAGAAACAACCCTGTGCATTTTATTGGCATTGAGGTACAGTCCCATTACATTTAATCTTTTCCTTTTTCTTAAACTGATATGCAATATAGAAAAAACATTAAAAGCCTGATTGGTCAACTAGCAGTAAACACAAAACCTGCTAAAAAAAAAAAAGGGGGGGGGGAAGGGGGAAAAAAAGGCAGGCAGAAAGCAATCTGCACTGGACATATAACTACACAGAACTTCACATTTATGGCCCCATTTGGTCATGGTTGTAAGAACATTTTTCTGGACTATAACTTCTTTCTGCTCAGGGATCCAAAACAAGGGTTAGAAATCACCACTGGTAAATGGCTGACAAGGTCCAGGTCTCTGACTCCTCTTCCTGGTGACAACTGTGTCTTCCTTTGGGGGAGACACATGTACTGGCTTCCAAGGAATGGGGTTACAATATGCTGGAGCTGGATACAGATTTCTAACAGCACTCCCTAGAACATTTAGAAAATACACATAATTTAGAAGGAATATTTACACCACAAGCTTGCCAAAGCAAGCAGTTACAATAATTATACAACACAACATCACCATCAGAGAAAGACAGCAGAGGCACATCACATAATTAAAGTGACTCAAAATAATAACCAGTCCACCTTTTTAGTTTTTAAACAGTAACTGGTATATTCTTCACTTCTACTTAAATAATAAGCAGGTTGAATGCTCAGTCCTTTGTGTTCTTAGAAACTGTAAATATCTACAAATTGGCCATTTTGTTTTACCCAACCACATGATGGATGGACACACTTCAAAGACTGTAACACATTACACTGAATGACACAAGTGAGTAGACAAATATTCTTCAAAAATCATTGAAATGAATGATTGCAGCTGTCAGTCTGTAATGCAGGCCCAAGCAAAACAGGAAGGCAAGGTATATCACTACTTACAAATACATGTAAGCAGAAGAGTAAAGGCTGTTCACCTGCTTTTTACCTGTCTCTTGAACATTCAGAAATCAATTCAGAATTTTGGTCTCAAAACTATTTCTGTTGCAAAGTCACATAGAAGCAATTATTTCAGTTGCACAGAAAAATAAGATGTTTTCAAACAAAAATGGAACAGGATTACAGAAGCCAAGGAGGTGCAATGCAGGTGAAAAGCAAAATTTTAGCTCAGAACAGAGGTTGATGCCCCTGTCTCCTTTTTCAGACAGGACTTCTGTGAGCTTCTAATAGTTCTTGTGTCTCAAAACCCCACCTCTTTTCTAAGGGGGATTCAGGTGTGCTGACACACACCTTCTGTAACACACAAACTAACTTGACAAAGACAACCAATTTGCTTCACAGCACCCAGGACTTTGCTCTAGTGATCCCTATAAGAAAAATCAGATAAAATCATTCTTTGCTACACTACATAATTATCTCAAATAATGTCATTTTCCTCCCAAATAATAAAAAAGAAAGGCTAAGAAAAATACACAAAAGGTCTCAATCTGTTTCCCTGACTTATAGCATAGTAAAAGTAACCATTCCTATGTGCCAAAAACTAGCTATTAGATGAGTGTCTTAAACAGCTTTCATTTTACACTAAAATACTAGAAGGAAGGAACCACAAGCCCAAGTCACTCCCTATTTGTGTACTGTATGTACAAACCTGTAGACTTCCCATTTGGGAAACCATAACCATTTAAAGCAGGTTGTGGTTTATTTCTGGCATTTTGCAGCCATTCCTTAAAGATTTTCTCTGATCTTGTTCTCTTCTCCTGTAGCTCAGCCACCCGTTCTTTTTCTTTTTCCTAGAAATAAAAGAAATAAAAGGTACTTCTAGACAAAGTCCTGTACAACATACACAAAATAGTAAATAATTTTTTGCAGATTTCCAGACTGCTGAATACAATTCAAGTATTTCTTCATATACAAGCACCTTTTCCTAACAATGGAAAAGATGCATTTTTTTTGGTTTAAGACTGAAAAAAATCCCAACCCCCAACTTCCATGTTAATCCAGTGTTTCCCTAAGAAACAAACCAAAGGCTATTAACAAAAATGCATTAATATGCATCTTACTTTGCTGACCATACCACAGTGTCTTTAATGCACTAACACTGTAACTCTTGGAAGATTTTTCTTCAGGTACAACACTGCCATTTGATGTCCATATATTCAATGTAAGCTCTGAATCTATCAAATCTGAATCTGCAATAAATTGCAGATTAAGTAACTCCATCCAAATAAATTATGAGTTCATTAACACCTTCTCTTTTTTCTTCTTTTCTGCCTCTTCAGCTCTCTTCTTCTCTAACCATTCTTTATACTTTATGTCAGCCTTTTCTTTTAGCTGCATTTTTTCCAGTTCCCTTGTGGCTTTTTCTGCCATTTCTTTGTTCAGCTTTCGTTTCCTTTCTCTTCTTTCCTATGTGAAACATATCAAAGAAACAGAACAGAAATTTTTGAGTATATTTCAATGAGCGATCCTTTTGAGGAATACAGTAAATTTTATTACACAATTACAAAGAAAATTATCATGAACATGAAAAAAATATGTGATACTTTAAGCTCTTTGAAGTCAGAACCTATTGACAACAAAGATTTCTCTGTGGACACAATTTCACAGAACCTATTCAGTGCCAGATTCCAGGTATGATAGACATATAAACTTGTCAAAAAAATACTATAAAAATTTGCTCTGTTTTATTTATTCTGAGATTTTTTAAACACTTTAGACACATCTCAATATTTCTGGGAATGAAATACATGTTGCAATTCTCAACAGTGGTGTGTTAGCTTTACTTGTCAGTGAATCTAGAGCAAACTACAGTTCCAAATGCAAGTCAGGTAAACTTCCCCCTTCTATTGAGATTTGCAGATTGTTCAGCACACTTCAGCATCAATTAAACAGTAAAAAAAGTTCAGATAGAAATACAGTTCATGTTTTGTTTTTTCTAAGCAAACAACCACACATCCACTGGCCTTTGCCTGATCTGGAGAGGGAGGTATTTTCATTTAAAGAGTGACAATAGCTGTCATTTCTGTTCCTTGTAACCTTTATGAAGTGTCTGGAATCTACTGATTGATTCTCTTTCTGCTTAACTCAGCTCTGAAGCAACTGCATCCATGTGCAGAAACAAAAATCTACCAGACAAGCTGTGCACATGACTTGGGAGAGAGGCACAAGACCAAAGACCAGTTTCCTCTTAACAGAAAAGAGCTGTTGAAAAAATATGTTGTTTTTCTTTTAAGAAATCTACTTTTACACTTTCCTGCACACTGCTCTTGAACAAAGGAGATGGGTAACTTAGCAGAAACTCATCCTGACTCAGAATTATTACAGTTGGCAGTATGGATATAAATGCTTAGAACTACAGCTGCAAACTATAATCAATAAATGAAGTATGGGAAAAAGACATTCTCAAGAAAACCATAAATACATTCCCATTCCCATTTTACCATTATATATTACCATTTTTTTCCATTAAAAGAACAAAAAGGCAGAAATCTAGAGCTCTCCCTGTCCCTCCCCCACCTTTTTCCCAGGTTTACTGCACTTATGGAAACTCCAGTGATGCATAATGAAGCAGAAGCCAAAATACTGCACTGAGGACCAGCACAACTCCCTCAGTCTGGTCTGAACAGCAGGGTCTAAACTTGCTGGCCCAGTGCTTGTGCCCCCACACCAAAACCACCAGCAAGCCAACAGAGCAGCACAGAGAATAAGAACCTCAGCTTATGTTGCTCTGCAGCACACTCACCTGATTGCTGCCAGCTCACAGAACCACTGGAGGCAGTGAGTCCTTTCCTGTTTGCCAGCAGCAGGAGCATCACTACAGCTGGAACATCAGCAGCTGCACTGGGCACTGTGGGACTTCCCCCCACCCACCTCCTGTTCCAAGCCAGGCTTTAGCACCTCTGTTTACCATAAACTCCAAGGGGGATGCTGCTTCACCTAAAGTCATAAGGGTACTTTCAGTAGTACTGCTCTGGCATACACTTGTCAAATATTCTTATGTGACAACAAAGACTTCCCTGTGGACACAGTTTCACAGAACAATTGCAATTTGTGCTTTAGCTCTCTTTTCTACTTGATTTTTTTGTTGTTTGGTGGGGTTTTTTCCATTTCACTTCTAATACATTCTAGCAATTATCAACTTAATCTTAATCTGTTTGGTGGTGTAGGGAAAATGGTCAAATATTAATACATCCCAATTACAATGCACATTCTGGAATGTAAAACTACACAGAATTATAAAACAATTGGTCTTATTAAAACGAATTCACCACAGTGAGGCCTGTACATGTGATAAAACAATTTACCACCAAGACTAATGAAGAAGTACATTCATTTTGGAAACTAAAGAAAGTTGAGATTCTGACATATTTTTATGCTAATGAAGCATGGAAACAAGATCTTTCCTAACATGAAAAAAAGGCTTCCATATTTTAAGATGTTGAAAAGAAAAAACAACAGATTTTTTGGCAAATGATTTAAACACCACCTTCCTGAAAATAAACCAAATAACCAATTGTCTAGGCTTTCCCTCCTTCTTCATCTACAATTCATCTCAGTCTCTTTTATTCAGAGCTGTTTCTCTGTCTCTTCATTACTAAATACTCCCCAAATGCACCAACAACTCCAGTTTTGAGACAATGGTTGTCTGGGACACATAAGAAGCATTAATGTAGATGAGAGATATCTGTGAAATCAGTGAGTTAACCTGTGGGAGAAGGTGGCTTACAAAGATTTTGCACATTTTGATTTTTGCTGATTTACCTCTGATATACATGAAAGTTACAAAACTAAGGATCATCCAAAACTACAGTCTTTAGCTAAGGGTCCTATTGTATAAAAGACATGAAAATAAATATAGGAGAAAACTGAAAAAAGGGGGCTACTTCCATACCTAGGGGAATGGAAAACTATTATAAGCAGAAAGTAGACTAAAAATCCTTCTAAATACTAGAAAAGAAAGGCAGGGAAGCTTCTTAACTTATGTATCTTAAATCACAATATTTAGGTGAGTTTAGCTACTCTCTGGGATGACTCAAAGTTAAATTAGGTCCTATGTAAACAATAGCATGCCATACACACTAAAGCCACAACTATTGCCAAGTTTTACTTCCAGTGAGACATCCCTAAGACATGGGGACTCCCTGCAGAATTCCAGACTTCACACTGCCTAGAAATTTTTCGGCAGACAAATCAGGAATGCTTCCTTGTTCTCTCACAATCAGAACAGATTTTCCTTCATAAAGTTAATGTAGACCACATTCCCAGCTTTAGTAACCTCTTCCATGTCAAGCTTCTGTCACCCTGACTGTCCCAGCTTTTTTCCCATCCTCATATTAAAAGTCCATCAAAAATGCTATCAATGTGCATATTGATGTCCATGTTCTTCACTCCTTTTCCTTTCTTTCCATGTATATGTGAAGGAAGAAATTACTTTTTTTATGCTTGGTGTTGGTTTAGATTGGGTTCAAAAAATTCTCTTTGATCTTGTGTTCAAAACAAGTCACAACCTATTCACTAAACCCAGTAAATTTACATATACAATATGGTTGTGGATATTACCTAAATAAGGTTTTGATTGTAAAAATTAAGGTATTGATTGTAAACCATCCAAGAAAGGCTTGTTCTCCTGCCACCCTGGCCCAGCACATGACAAGGAGAAAGGATACAAATCTACCCTGAAGGTTCAGTGCTCTGATTCCATCAGGTCTCAGAATCCACTGAAGCCTGGCTTAGGTGAGTCCTTGGAAATCCCCCAGCCCACACAAATCACCTGGCCCACAAAGCTCTGATGGTGACTCTGCCCACAGCTTGTGTCTCACTGAGTCACTGCTAACATCTCCACAAAAATCCCACCTACCTGCATGTGGTGAATGCTCAAAGGATTTTAAAATCTGAAGAAGTGTCCCACTTCCATCCTCACAGAAGGTAGAAACAGGAAATAATTTTCCATGCAGGGGAAAAAAACCCTCATTGCTTCTGAAACAGAGGCACTATATCCAGCTAGAAGAAAACTACTAAAACTTTGTATTTTAGTATTTTCACATCAGTGAGTAATTGAGAGGCTGGAATGTGTAAAGTGCAGAGGTGCTTTCTGTTCTGCATTTCCTATGTAGACTGTCACTGAGTGGAAGTATTTGGATATGTGGAATATGTGATTTGATATTTTTAAGATACTTTTCAAAGCAATCTTTTCCATCTTATGATCTGCAGAATGTGACATTTTTCTTTTCACAGCTAAGTGTTCTACTTCACAGCTGTTTGCTGACATCTTAGCTAGCCTATTCTAGCATCAGTTAATGCTGACTGATGGCAAAATATAGGAAAAGCCAACATCAGAACACACACCCTAATTTACTTGTTTATCCTCATAATAATTGTGAACATCAACTTCTAGCAGTCTTGGAAATCTGGGTCCTTCAAACAACTGTAATTATCTTTTCAACTTTACCCCATAACACAACTCAGTGACCAGGCCTAGCCCACAACAATACTTCTTTAATCTCTCTAGAATTTCCATGTGAAAACAACAAGAGGCTAGAAAGGAGATCAGCATCAGTCTCAGCTGCAGATGGCTCTTGACAAGCTGGTTTATACCAATTTACTGCTCAAGTTCACAGAGTCTGGGAACTGGAGAATTGTTGCATCTTTCTCCTAAAATGTGTTCATGTGGGGACTCAATGTATGTGACAGCACAAAGTTTCAGTGTACTTATTCCTGGAACACTCTTGGGATCTTCAGAAGAATGTGGACTCCACAAATGCTGCTGAAATACATGAGCACTCATTCACCTGTCACACTGGATTCTTCTTGCAAAACTCTGTCTAAAACTCATTCTGACATTCACCATGAGAAATTAGTTCATTCTACTTACAGAAATCTAAAGGTAATTAAGATTCAGGTAAAACCTAAAATTATAACCATGGCATGGGCCATGCATGATAGCACAGAAAAATTCTGTGTAAAGACTTTTCAGGTCCAGAGAGCAAAAGTCCCACAATATGTGGGAAAAAAAATCCTTAAAAAATTAAGCCCAGACTCAGAAAAAAAATATAGATATGTAAAGACAGACTTAGGTATGTAAACAGAAAAATTTCATTCTTAAATGCAGTTGGTTCTCATGACTGGAAAGCTTCCCTCACAAACACACTTCTTGAAAGAGTTCAGTCTTAAACAGGTGGACATCAGCATCTGTTTCAAGTCTAACCTCTCAGCAAAAACCACAGTACATCAGGCTCTCCATTAGCAACCAGAGCTTGGACTCAGCAACAGCTCAGCTGTAAGAACATGAACCTAGACAGGGAAGATCTGGATTTCATCACATTCCTGCCAGAGGAGATTCCAATGAACATGTCCCCAAGCTGCAGGCTGGCATGACAGGATTCTCCACCTCTTGTGTGGGAGTGCCACCATTCCTCACAAAATCATTAACAACCCACTGGATGAAAGAAAGAGAGCATGAGCAAGCCCAGCTATTGAAGTTGAAAGTCATGCTCAAGCTGTGGAACAATCTGTGCTCTGCATTAACCATGCTGAGATAAAACATACATTAAAGAAAAAGCCTTGGGTGTAAGAGTTGGCACCCAGGTGTCTCTTCTGGAGGAACCAGCACACCAAAAAGGGAATTCTCATTCATTACTGCACACTGGGTTGGTTCTAGGCTTTCATATCCTCCTTAATGCAAATCTTCCATGAAAAAACATTCCAGTAGAACTTTTCCATTCTGTACCTAGCTTCCATTAAAAATGATATTTTTCACTAAGTAAAGGGGACTTATTGAAAAGAAAAGAACAATAAAAACTGTTGAACACTCAAATTCCATTTTTAATGCCTGCTTGGTAATATTTATTGTTATGGGAAAAAAAATTGTTGTCTTATTCTCTATTCAACAATGCAGAAAGTATTAGAAATGCTACAGTCAATTTTAGATTGGCATTAGAATAATTGGTTTTTCCAATGGAAAATTCTAACTTCACTACTTGTGCTCTTACAACTTTGCTAATGTCCTAGGTTGACTATGTGATGTTTTTATCCTTTATTGTCTTGTTCTGTTTATGCTGAGTAATAAGTTTTGTACCTTTAAGATACAGCTAGGAATCACATTATTACAGGATAAAGAATTACATGCAAAGACTAAATACAGGGATGTTAACAACATGAGTTTCAGAATTCCAGTTATTTTGGAATGCAAGCATTTCTCTTTGGGGATTTCCATCACTGCTGCAAACACATGCACAACACATGCAGTGGGTTTTGGTTTGGATGGAGTTAATTTTCTTCAAAGCAGCTCCTGCTGTGCTGTGTTTGGATTTGTGAACAAAACAGTGTTTGTGATAACAAGTTATCACTAAGCAGTGCTTACAAAGCTTCAAGATCTTTTCTGCCTCTCCCCCCACGGCACCAGGGCACAGTCTGGGGGTGCACGAGGAGCTGGAGGGGGCACAGCCAGAACTGACACCCACCACCCCAAGGGAAAGCCCAGACCATCCTGCTCAGCAAGAAAAGATGGGGCAGCAAGGGGGCTCCTAGCTGCCTCCTGGGGCAGTAATATAAATATTTATATGTACACACGTGTATATGTATGAATTGGATACTCCAGATATTGCTAAGTTCACACTCTATTGACACTGTAAAAATGAAGAAGCTTTGCAGAGCCAGTAAAGATGGATTAAATATGATTTGAAGATATTTTATTAGATTGCAGAAGGTAGAGTGCACTGCATCAGAGTTGATTTTTTTCATATGCAATCAAAAAGCTGTTGTCATCAGGCCTGAGCTTTAATCCTAATATTTTATTCAGCATTAATTCCTAAGAGGTTCTGACTGTGATGACAATGATAAAGAATTAAACTGTCATGGCAGTTTACAGGCATTCACTGTAATGCATTTCTGTAAATGCATTTCTCAAAAGCTTTTCATATTTTGATTTGAAATCAGCAATTCCACAATTACAGGTACCTTACTGAAGTGTTCATTTCCACAGCTGATGATAGCAATGAAAGAGACTTCACATCAGAAGTTCACTTAAAACAGGAAATTAACACCAAACTTACTTGCTCAGCATTTATAACCACAGCCACTTCATTTTTATCAATAAATCCAACACTAACTCAGAAATAAACATTATAGTTACATAAAAATCATGTTATGTTCATTTTCCTTCTGGAATCAAAAGCATGCTTAGCATTATTTTAGAGTTAAAATATTCCAATTGATACTTGCTAAAAAGTCAACAGACAATTTACTGTCTGCCCACAAATGGCTCAACTTTAAGAGGGAGACAAAGTAAGACTATTTTTGTCCAGGAGGGATCCAGTATCTTGCTGAAAATTGTAAAGGCGTTATTAGGTCCAAGATAGTGCCTAAAAATTGGTTTTATAAAGCTTCTAATTCCTAGGGAGCTGAAAAATTTTGCCATGAATAAATATTTGTATAAACACATTTAATGGCTTAGAATGTTCTTTGATGGCTCATATTTCAAAATATTACTTCTAGTTCATTTACCACCTTTAAGAACCACAAAAGCTATTTACATAGAATACTAAATAGCTAGGATTCCTTTACTTTCAAAAATAGCTTCTATAAAACTATTAGAAGCATAAGAAAACTGTAACAGCATATAATTTTTAATCTATATTAAATAATTAAAAAACCAGTAGTGGACAAAAAGAGTGTTCAAGCTTTGCTTCCTAACCTCACCCTAAAGGACTCTATTTAACATCACAACTAAAATTGCCATGCAAGGGTACTGGCTTCACATAGAGAAAACCAGAACTGTTTTATGCATATACAAACTTTTACCTCTGACCCAAACATCTCTGACATTCCCAGCACAAAGACTGTTCCAGCAGTGTCTCCTGCTGCTGGATGCCCAAGATGAAGGAAGAAGTTTGATGTGTGCTTCCCTTTCTTTATCACTGCAGTACTGAGCAATGGGAAAGGACACAGATTTGGGATTACAGAGGTGAGGTCCCTAAAGCACTGACTCTTCCAAATAAAGCACTTTCTGCTCTCTGCACACAGGGCTCAGAATCAGCTTGAAAAAGGTGAGTGCTTAATGCAAATTTCACTGAAAAGTACTGCAAGCTTTGCCCCAAGAAGCATCTTTGGATACTTCTATGAGGAAATGAAGTGTTTTTCAAACAGGAGATATGTACACACTCCCCAAGAGAATTATATCAACTGTCAGTGCTCCTGACTCATACCTCAACTACAGCTGAAATCCTGACGCACCTTTAAGATCTTAGTCACTGAATTGACCTATTTGTCCTTCAGTCTGTATCCAAATCCACAAATAATCTTGCAGAAACTTGAAGTGGGACAGTCTACACAGCAAAAATGTTCATATCCTATGGACAGCTAAGCTTTTAAATTCAGTTTATCCTTGATTTGAGTGTGGTTTATAGGAAAGACTAGCCAATGAATCATCTGATTTAAATGAAAATCAGCTTACTGTTTTCTTAACACTTGCTCTAAAGATGACCCTATGCTTCCAAAACATAATTTGATCAAGTCCAGACACAAGCATGGCTTTTTCTCCTGTCCTTTGGACTGCTGTGATTACCATAAAAAAAGACCTCCTAATCCCACTGAGAACAGAACAGAAATTGTGAACCAGTAAAACCACAAAGTTCCAAGGAAAACCCAAATCAGTAGAAATTTATGGAAGCTGAAGGAGGTGGTAGGGGTAGTGAGGAGGAGACAGAAGAAAAACTTCTGGTTCTGAACTTGAACTATTTTAAGAGGCAGACCAACTCCTTCAAGCCAATGAATAGTCACAGACACCCAGAATTTACTTTTCATTTAAATTTCATTTTGGAAGAGGAAAATGGAATTGTATGTGCTGAACAGTAAATCTACTTTCTCCTGTGTACTTTAATTAGTAATATAAATCATAAGAAATTAATAGAGCAGGAGAGGTTCTGCAGTGGGTTTCTGCCAATTACCCAGCCAGCATTAAGACTAAGATTAATTAGGTTAGATGCAAATATATGTTAGTGGTTCTAGGCTGAATCTGAAGGCGTTCTAAAATCATGGAAACAAATGTAGGAGGTCTGCCCACCCAACCCAGGCTAGTGCTGTTCTGGTATTTTGGGTGAACGTTCATCTGCTTTTGCTCAGAAGCAGAAGCCAATGCAGTGAGCAGCTGGAACTGCTGCAGAGCATGGGACTATGAACACAGGAACTGCCAAGGCTGGACATGCCCTGGGCTCCCAAGGGCTCCCATTGTCACTGGCATACTGTCTGAAAAACCCCCTTGCCCAGGATTCTTCTCCTGGGAAGCTCAGAAGTTGCAAAGGAAAAGGAAAACAGTATTTTCCTATTTGCTTCTCCTGTGTTTTGCTACTTTGGAATGTGGTTGGGGATTGTTTATCCAACATGTGAATTGTTTTGACTTAATGACCAATCACTCTCCAGCTGGGCTGGAACTCTAGGAAGAGTCACAAGTTTTTCATTGTCATTCTTTGTAGCCTTCTGTCTGTATCTTTTCTCTATTCTTTAGTATAGTTTTAGTATAGCATTCTTTAATATAATACAGATCATGAAATGATAAATTGGCCTTCTAGAAACATAGAGTCAGATTCATCATTTCCTTCCTGCCACAGGGAACCCCAAAAATACCACACTGCCTTTGCTGCCACCCAGGGCACATGCTCACCTGCTGTGACACAGCTGTCACACAGCCCCACTGAGATCACCATTCTGTCTGTTTCTGACCCTGGACCCAGGCATTCCCTCAAGAGCCTTTTGATCCCACCCAGAAATTAATTACTGACTGAAGGAATTCCCAATTGCAAACTGTGGGCTACTGACAACTCCCTCCATAAATTACCTCAATTACCCCCTCCCCCAAACCATATCCTCTGGTAAATACTCCTTGCCTGCCCCTGGTGATATTTAACTAAATCCTCTTTCTGGCTCTACCTGTGTACAAAACATTGCACACAGCCAAGATGTACACTTACCCAAAAATGTTTGGGCACTGAACCTGGCAAGTCTGGGTGCACTGAAAACCAAAACCTCAGCTACCATCAGCAGAAGGCTACTGCACAAGATGTACACCCACTGTCAGTTATGTGACTACTCAGAAAACAAATCCCTTTGTACCCTACAGAAAAGAAAAACCAGTCTTGAAAAAATGTTCAGCTGCTTTGGCATGTTTTTATCATTTTCAATTAAAGCAGCAATTTACTCAGCAAACTGAAAACATGGATGGCCAAACAGACTGAGTAAATTTTACACAGGCTTACTCAAGCATGGCATGCACTAGAATATTTCCAGTCAAGGCAGTATTTACCTCTTCTCTCTTTTTTAGGACCCATTCCTTGTGTTTCTCTTCAGCTATCCTTTTTCTTCTTTGCAATTCTTGATTTTGCTTCATTTCCTCAAGCTGTTTATTCACTTCCTAATTAGAAAAAGAGTATATATTTCAAAGCTGTGGTGAACACTTACAGCAATACTGGCAGTAGTGCTGCAGTTAAAACAATATAAGCATTAGATTCTGGCACATTCTCCTTCATTAAGATTTTGGAGAAGAAGAATGGCAGTCAACACAGAAATACCATGAAATACAATTAACGAAAATCCATAATTTTTAGGATATTAACTGGAAATACATATTTTAATTAGGCTTTGGAAGCAATTAAATTCATCAAATCATTCCTCAGTTTATTGAAATGCCTTTTAAGTCAGTAGACTTAATTTGCAGCAGTACTTTCCTACAATATTTAAAATTTACCCTGTGTACTGTTCTGCACTGTGGATGGTATGAAAAGCTAAGTGAAATATTATTCACCTGTGATTTTTCATACCAGAACTACTAGAACTTTAGGGCTTAACCTAAGGCTTACTAAAGCCAAAATTATTGCAGATTCTAGCAAATTTTCAAACAGGAGTTTTAATTTGAGAAAAGAAATTTTCCAAGTATATTTCTAAGACATACAGTATATATGCAACCATTTGTATCTCTCCCGTGAAATTAATAAAGACAAAACATAACTAAGGAGACAATTGAGATGTCCACCTTCTCCAACAGTAACATTAACACAAAGTATTAATTTTCAATGAAAATTCATACCTTCAAACACAGACAGATTGAATTATTTCCATGAAACTGATTTTATGGTGCCTACACCGCAGTCAGTTTCAGAGGGAACCCCCTTTCTTATGACATAGAATTTCAGTTTAGTAGGACATCAACAGAAGCTTACAGAAAGCTCAAACACCCACAATACAGACACAATTTGAAAATACAGTTGTTGCTGTATTGAGGCAAAGTTACCCCAAACAACATCTCTTTTGAGTTCCAAGACACCCGTATTGCAGGGATCCTGGTTTCTGTAAAAAATGATTGTCACTGTCATATTTTCTGAAAACTCCCTTCGCCAGGATTTCTTCTCCTGGGAAGCTGAGAAGCCTCAGAGAAAAATGAAAATGACATGATCTCATTTGCTTCTCCTGTGTTTTGCTGCTTTGGAATGTGGTTTAGAGATTGTTTATCCAACATGTGAATTGTTTTGACTTAATGACCAATCACTCTCCAGCTGTGTTGGGACTCTGGAAGAGGCCACAAGTTTTCATTAGTATCTTGTTAAACCTTCTGTAAGTATCCTTTCTGTATTCCTTAGTATAGTTTTAGTATAGCATTCTTTCATATATAATACCATAAAATAATAAATCAGCCTTCTAAGAACATGGAGTCACATTCTCAATTCTTCCTTCGTCCTGGGAACCCTGAAAATACCACAGCTGATGGCACTCTGAGCACCTTACGAGACCCAACCTAATTCCACTCCAAATGTTCATCCACCTTTTTGACATTCAGGGCAGACTTGGTACTAATGTCAGCAAAAGAGCTGAAACTTGACTGTTGTTTCTCAGGATATCAGTTTAGAATACTTTTATAATGCAAACAGAGCAGTATTTTTTGGTATAAATATCACACATTTCATTTTCTTCTGGCATCTTACAAAAATGTTTATTATATTTTTCCCCCAAATCTAAGGTTTTCACACTGTCTTGCTGCAGTTTAACATCTAATGTTTTCAAAATCTTACAAACTATATGTCTATTTTCTACATGGCCTTAAGTAATGCTTGTTCTATGACTGTTCTTAATACTGACTTGAGAGACATCTGCTAGCTTACATTTACATTACCAATCCAGAATATAAATGGGAAGTCATGAAACATTTGGTGCATGTGGATTAACAGATCAAAGCATATTCCTCAAGCTTAACAAACTACTTTGGAGTACTGCTGACCTGTAAAATTCTGTTCCTGAGCCTTCCAGTGGTAGGTGTTCTATAAACAACATGAGGTAGCCCACATGAAACGTTACAGACAATCCCAGAAAGGCTAGGAAAACATTCAAGGTCAAATAGTTAATCAGTAACTAAAGTGAGAAATTATCTAGTTTTGATGTGATTGTTCTAATCATTACTCAATACTTTCCATTTGATTTTCAACAATGGTATCACCTAATCAACTGCAACTACAAACAGAGTAATCAGGAAAAGATAGGGTGCTCTCACTTAATTGCATCCCAGCCCTGGTTCTCAAGAACTGTTCATCTACAAGGGGGAAAAAGATAGAATGAGGGAAAAAAATGCAGCAACAGGGATCCCTTTCCTGGGAAAGGACACCAAAGAATTGGAAAATTACATGCTGAGCAGGTAACAACATTGTTCCTCAAAACCAACCAAGTAGCTTGGCATTCTTACAATGAGCACACACCTCGTTTTCTTCTACAACCTACATGCAGGCCTATGGTACCCATGATGAAAATTAAGGCAGTAATTATATAAAAGTTTTAACCTTCTAACATGGAACCACTACCTGACAGCTGGATAAACAAAATACTATACAGCACCCGTTCAATGAAGTACAACATGCAGCAAAATAAAATGCACATGACATGAATCACACCAGCACTGACAAACACAAACACTATGGAGACCTAAAACACTGCAGAAAAAAAAAAAAAGGAAAAAACAACTACTCGTGTTTCTACAACCAAGGAAAAGAAAATGCTGTGTCTGCTCTCTTCTGTTGGACTCAGAAGAGCTGGATGCAATCACCTGTGCAGCTCTAGCCTGCAGGCGGGCACGCAGCTCCTTCTCTTTGCCAATGAACCACTCTTCCCATGGTGAAAGGTTATCTTTCAAAGGTGACACCTGTCTCCCCCCTGCTGTTTCAGAGTGTTCAGTCTTCCTGAATTAAAAACAAGAAACAGAGGAGAGTATTATCTATAATGTATTTGATTGAAAAGTCAAAGTGTTACTGTTTTGAGAAAGTACTTTTCTTTCATGGCATAATGTGACAACAATGACATCATTTTTCTACTTGTTTAGTAATCTCCCTAATGGATAAATGGCATTTATAATGCACCTCTGACCCTCCCCCTTACAGTCTACATTTCTCTTGCTGAACTCCAAACTGTGGAACAGATTCAAACATTACCTTTTAGGAACTAAACTAAAAGAATAGCCATAATATCAAAGTGTCCCTTTGCTTCTCACAGATGGAAGCCAAGGCAAAACAGAGATTTAACATTAACATCCTGTCCTGGTCACAAGAAGCTCCATGTATCCAGTGGTCTTTAGCAGAAGCAAAGCAAAAGCAGAGAATGTGTAATAGGATACCCTATGTAAGTTCATTCATGAATAATGCAGAATTCCTAGCCCCAGGTCACAAATACCTTTTATGAGATTCTATACATGTACTATTTCACAAGTAACACAGTATATTAGGGTTCAAGTTAGCAAAATTTGAAAACAGGTAAAGAAATTTCTTTACAAGATTTCTTTTATCTGCCACAGAATTTTTTTCTTGAGAACAAAGCAATGAAACTAGACTTCACTTTACTATTTCCTATGGATGTACAGGCTCTGGAAATACCTACCTACATACATATTCCACTACAGTGAGGAATTCTGTTTGCTGAACCTAAGCTACAGAAGAAGCATCCAACAAGCATATTATGCTAATGCTGCAGAAATAAAATTGGTAAATGTAAGGCATCAGTATTTTATCAATATAAAAGTACAATATATTCATGACAAAGCAGTACTCCAACACTCAACTGCACAACATTTTCTGTCCCACTCATCTTCAGAGTACATTTCTGTGCTAGAAAGCATTTGGGGACAAAGCCAGTGTTACAGTTTGTCCTACTCTTCCCTGTTGTTCTACCCATGTGTGTTTGCACCAAGAGGACTTTGCTGCTCAGCTCAGGGTAACTGATTCACACTGAAACCCACCTGGAGCAGCTTTATTTCCCCAGACAAATCAACTTTTACGGTGTGAAATGCAAAATAACAGAACTGACAGGGACACCCCGTCAGTGCAAGGACAGAACTGCACAGACCAAAGACTCACCAGCCCCACACATCCTGCTGCCCTCCAGGGCTTTTATGCTGCAGCATTAATAAAGACCAAAAATTTAACAGAGGCAGCTCTTAAACTCATACATATAATAAGAGATGCCACTTAAGAATGCCTAGTAACACATTTTGTAAGAAAATAAGTCACTGAAAGTTGATTAAAGGACAAAAAGTATTACACATTCACATTCAGGAAAGAACCCCATAACTTTGTACAGACTTGACATTTTGGGCAGGGATACTTCCTCAATACATTCTTTTTCTTTGTGTGATTTGCATTATGGCACCTAGTGGAACACGACTGACAGATTAAACCAACCTTAGAAAAGGTACAAATAGGAGAACAAATAAATTAGGAAAAATAAGATTTATTATGTCTTTTCTTCTATCAGTACTCATGAAATTCAAGCTGTCAACCTCTCAAAAAAAGTTATTCACAGTAACAGATTAAAAACTTACTGCAGACAAGTAAGAAATAACACAAAATGAAACTTAAACTGAGGAAAACACAAGCTCAGTATTAAGACCTGTTAGGAGAAAGACTTCTCCAATACTGTGTCTAAAGCTCTCCAATTGCACCAGAACCCAGGCTTCCTTGGTGTGCATTGCAGCCACCAGTCACACTCTCCTGGCACACCAACCATGCATTTTAAACCACACACCCCTTGAATTTCACAGGACCTTTTTCTGAAATTCTAGCAGTTATGAACTTCTTCAAAATAATTAAAGTAATAGACTTCTTAAAATAACCCATTCTCAAGTGCACATTTAGCTGTAAATAAGTATCTTAAATCAAACTGGACACATTTGGCATTTAGACCTAAGTCTGATCAACAGTGAACAGTGATTATCATTTGCTGTATATTCACTAAGGTGACACATCAAACATAACACTGGATCCACAGCCAAAGTATGAAAATGCCTAACAGCATTAACAAGGCCTTGCTTTTACTCTTTCTCTTTTGCAAATATTGCATTTCCCACATTGAGTAGCTGCTTCCAGCTAATTTTTGTGTCGTTTTAAGAGGACAACAACAGCAACATTCAGAGTGCATGCATACATGGGGAGCTGCAGAAGAAATAGTCTTTCATTATTGTAATTCTGGTATCTTGGCAGCTACAGACACAAGTTGCCATATGAACACAAGGTAGGCACTTAGTGCAGCACAGCAGCAGTGTCACCCAGCAGCACAGGGTGTATTTAGCCCACTGTTTAGTCATGTGAAAAATGCCTATTTTATGACTGGCTTTTTGCAAATATTAAAATTAATATTATATGTGTTATGTTAGAAAGTTATGCTGTATTAATTTTCTTAAGTAGTGTGTTAAATATAGTTTTAGGTTATAACATAATGTTAAAGTATAAACTATGCTATGTAAGATACTTTTTTTAAAGAAAGGACTCATGCTGAGATAGCAGCCACAAGACACCCAAATCTTTTAGAGAAAAAGAATTTATTGCTCCATTATCAGTAGAAATTAACTTCTTCCTGCCTTGCTCAGTCCTGAAGAGATGTCAGGATTAAGAAAGAGTTGACACTGCCCAGACAGAATCCTGTGTTTGAATGGAATTTATGCATCATGCATGAGATGTATGAATATGCAACAGGTTATTGTTTTTAAGGGCTAATCCTCCGTTAACGTGGGTCCTTTTTCAGGCTTATTTTGCCCAGAAAAGGTACCCGGACCATCTGTAACCCTTTGTTCTCATTGTCTTGTATTGTCCTAATCTCAATTGTTCAAATTTTTATTTCTCTAATTACATTACTACTTTTATAATCATTTGATTACTATTCAACTTTTAAAACTTTAAAAACAAGTGATTGGTTATTTTTCACAGTCAGACTGCCATCTCAGGCCCCCAAAGTGGCTGTGTTCAGCTGCACCTCAGTGCTGCCAACACTGCAGCAACAGGCCCGAGTGGGGAGCTGTTCCCAAGAGCCCCTGAAGCTGCAAAGACGTGCTGCAGCTTGAACAGACTGCAATCAGCTCCAAAGGGCACAAATAAAATTGCTCATTGGGAATAGTATAGAGAGAGCTAACAGGAACACTGAAAGAAGGGACCATAAATCGGCTGGTTTCTTCCCTCAGAAGCTTCTGGCTACAATTGAACACTCTTTCCCTGGACTTTGAGTACCTTTTCCGAGAAATGTGTTTAAGTAAAGTGCAGTGTGGTCCATATTCCTTCACTGCTCTCCATGGAAATTTGAGAACCCGGCTGGAAACCTGCATCCCGTGAAGCTCTGCAGTCCTTCCTTTACTTCACTGGCACTTTCAGCTCGGCTCAGCCTCGCTAGCTACATTCAGCCCCGGTTAATGCGCAAGTCTGTGAAGTTTCTATCGTGAAGCTGGTTTTCCAGATTAGGATCGGCTCTCCCTGCTCTTCCCCCATCTATTTTAAAGGGAAGAAGAATTATTCTCCTGTCAAGCCAGCGAGACCCAAAGTAAAAAGAATGCATTTTATGTTCGCATGTAATTAAAACGGACTAAGATTAAGCCACCGGAGGAGGAGCTGTGCAACGCTTACAACACAAAACTGACTCTGGACCCAGCTACATACACTACGCAAAACAATCCTGCAGTCTGCAAACACTTTTAAATTAAGGCAGGAAAGACTGTAGCCTCTAAAAATCCTCAGGTGTCCACTGAGAAGACTTTCCAAGACAATAAAAAGGAACAAAGCTCCTAAAGCGCTCATCTCTGCAAACAAGGCTATATTTATATAAAATAATCGCCTGTCTCTGGCGGAGGGAAGTGAGTGCAAGGGCAGAGCCCGGTCCCCGCCGCGGGGGTTACCTATGGCCCGGCGGGCTCCGGGAGGCTCCGGGAGGCTCCTCCCGCTCCGGGGAGCTGCAGCGGGACGGGAGCGAGAGCAGCGAGCCCTGCGAGGGGCTGGGGGAGAGCCGGCCCTCAGCGGGCGGCGGGCTCGGGCCGTTGGCCCCGCCGCTCATGGCGGGCACCGGCGGCAGCGGTTACCGGGCACCGGCGGGGGCGGTTACCGACGCGGGCAGGGGCGGGCTTGGGCCGCGCTCCCGACGATCCCCGCGGCTCCGCCATGGCCGCCCCCTCAGGGCCCCGCCGTACGGCCCGGGGAGAGACGGCGGGTGAGAACGGCGGCCCCTGCCGCGCTGGTGGGCAGCGAGCCGAGGCCCCGCAGCGCCGGGATGTGCCGGGGCTGCCCGCCTGGCACCGCCAGGGCGAGCACTGACACGCCTGTGCTGATCCACAGCGACTCCTCGCAGCTCCTCTTTATTCCTTCACGTTCCTGCGCACGCACCGGTGCAATAAACAGGGACCGGTAACTTCATCTGCAGGTGGCAATCCTGACACATCACAAGGAGGCATCTTAACATTCAAACACCCCTTAATCTATACTAGCATTGAATTGCAAAATCCCATTTCAGTCCTCACCGTTACTATCTTGTTTCTGATTCAGAGTTCTAAAGCTTGGTTTTCATACACATCTGCTAGGAAAACAGTGTCCTTTGCCTTCTCCATCAGTCAATTTTCCACTGAGTCTACAACTATCTGTAATAAATAGGTCAGATTATATATCTATATAGACATTCCTATCCTTGTTTGCCACTACATTCTTTGTCAGCTTCCTATTTAGGTTCCAAATCCCAGGAACACTGTCCCCCTTCATTGCTTATGCGGGGCCACCCTTATCCCCCCACCTTTAGCCAAATCTTAACCAGGATCAGCAACAAACATTTGCACCAAAAACCAAAGCTTTTCATTACCTTCAAATTTCATCAACCAAGGAGATAACTGATCAACAATCTGCCACAACTGGATGGAGTTATTTAAGCATCATGTGCCTCAGTGATGTATTCTGGGGGTGCTTAGATCAGAGATGTATTCAGGCCCTTTTTGTGATAACTGATAGCTGATCAGCAGTTGGTAAATTTTTATAAAACTTTGAGTAACTTTGCTGTGGCTGACTAAGCAGAAGCATTACATAACTCATGTTACTCATATTAACATGAGACACAGAAGTTTGAAAATTAGTGTTAATTTGGCTGCTGTACCAATTGTTCTTGTGGGGATTCTTCAGGTGAGTTTAACAAGAAATGTATTTTTAATTGGATAGGCAAGTTGAAAAATAGGAAACAGTACTGGAAATGCTTTGTCTTAATTAGGAAAATCAATTGTGGTATCTGAGCAGCTGAATGATATAAAAAGGTTGTCCAATCTATATAAGCATTACCACCAGCAAAAATGAGTGCTGTGAGGGAGGAGACATCTCAATGCCACCATCATTAACAGTCCTAAAAGATGCCTAAAATGATCATCTTGGAAATTTTTAAGAGGGGATGTTTGGTGCTTGGGCTGCAGACTGACAGACACCCAAATCTGTAATTTCTCTGACAAACAGACTACATCTCTCCTGTCTGTCAGGAGTACTTCTCCCTCCCTCTTGCTCTTTGGACCTTCACTGACACACAAAACCTTACTAAAATGGTAGTAAAACATTTGGCCAAACAATGTGTGGTCTGAGCAAGCTAAAGCTCAGGGTGCATCAGACAACTGCTGAGGCCAAAACCAGGAACACAGAACAACCAAAACCAGGAACACCAGGAACCAGGAACAACCAACAGCAGGAACACCAGGAACCAGGAGCACAGCCATAGACTCAGGGGGAGAGGCAGAGGTGGAAGGGATTTGGGATTTCCCCCTTCAGCGGTGGAGCTTCTGCATTTGGCTTACCATTTCACAAGGAACTGCACTTTTGACAGGCTGGAGAAATAACATTATGGTTCCTGTAAGAAAAGAACACATGTTACTGCATTGCTGATAGTCATACAGAACTGTTTTCTAGCAAGCTGAAAAACACAAAAAGGGCCTGAATACATCTCTGATCTAAGCACCCCCAGAATACATCACCGAGGCACATGATGCTTAAATAACTCCATCCAGTTGTGGCAGATTGTTGATTGTTATTTTATGATTATCAAATAAAGAATCAAGTATGATTAGCTACAGTATCTCACAAACAAATTATACCTGTTGAAATAATTTGATGATTCAAGTATTGCAGACAACAGAGTATCATCAGAATCTAAATTTCACGCCAAGTAAAGTTACAACAAGAAGAAAATTTGATATTGGTCTGAATTCTTAGGATACAAGTTACACAATCCAATGCCTCAGCTTTGTTCAACACAAATCACCTGTGGTTTTACAGGCACTTTTGTATATGTGCTGCATTCAGCTGAGAAATAAAAGCAGCATCAAAGTTGTTCAGTCCATGCTACCCAAGCACTGTGAGCAAAGCTCCATGTCATGGCAAGCAGGAAAACCTCAGCTATTTCAACAGGCTGCAGACCAAGGTCATTTTAAACATCTCAGGAAGGTCTGAAAACCTTCCCTGGCCTTAAAGCCCATCTCACAGTGAAGAGTGGCAACCATCATAAATGATTAGGAAAAATGAAAAGCCCGGTGTTGTCTCAGTGAATTGAGGAATTGCACTGGGCATCTCTCACTTCCAATGGAGGCCTACATCACCTGGAATGGCCAGAAACTGTGAAATGGATGTCTCAAGGAGAGGGAGCAGCAACTTTGCCAAACAAACATTTCAGCTTGTCTATTCCCTTCCTCTCCTGTTATACAGAATATGAGAATTTCTCAGGATGCTGGAGCAGGTATTTGGGAAAATAGCTTATATTAACAAACCTTAGCACAGGGACAAGCTAGTGGAATTTATGCACTGAGACTGCCCATAAGGGAGGTTGGCAAAAGCCAGTTCACCCTCTGGGAAATTAAAGCATTGCTGCTGGAATGGCAGAAGCACTCCAACTTTGAAGAGATGTGAAAACATAAAATAATATTGTTACTATCCTGCTTACCATTATCAAGCCAGCTCCACAGCCACTGTGCCCTAGTTAACACAGGAAAGGTATGAGCCCAAACAATGTAATTTGGTTAAAAAGCACTGAAACAACAATCCTGCAGCTTCAGCAGACAACTTCTATGGCCACAGAAGGACTGACAAGATAAATGGCATGCTGCAAAGATAGCAAATCCCCAGTTCTGTGAGCTGAATGCCAGAAGCAGCTGCCCTGGCAAGAATTACATGCCAACACTGCTAAAGCCCATAGGCAAAATCAAACTGCCACAATGAAGCACAGAAGTTGCCACAAACAACTGAACCAAGTGAATAAAGACACACACACACACCCCTATGGTTGATACCAGTGTGCAAAATCATCCTAATTTTTCACTAAAGAAACTACAAAAACTATCTTCAGTATTTCAGTGCTAGCTCACTGTCACAGACTACAGAATAAGCACTTAGAGCTATCTAGCAACAGTGAGAAAATTCAGAGTAAAAATAGCATGATGTGTTCACAGACCTATACTTTCTGTCTGCATGCTCATGCCAATCAGTATGTCTGAACAACCAAATGCTCATGACAGATTTCTCAAAGTATTCCCCAATAGCCACCCACAGTATTTAAAAAAGCATTTCACACATAAAATATCAAGAAAGCAATTCCTTATGTAACAGACACAGAAGATATTTATATTCTAGACACAAATCAACTACTCTGAATCACTAAGCACACTTTGATTTGCCAACTCTTGTTCATGAAATTGTTCAGTTTTAGAAATTTGACTGTAATCTGACGAACTCGGTCTCTGAAAACACAAGAGCCAGCATAAGGAAACTTCTCAGTTCAACTTGATGAACACTAGCCAGGTTTAATGAAAGGAATGAGATCAGATTGCTTGTAGATGTCATGTCTAATTCCCCACTAGACATTAAGGAACACAAGCACAAAAATAATCAAAAGGGAAAAAAATAATTACTAAATGTAGGGAGAAACAGAGGCTTAGACATCAAGCTTTAAGTCTGAAGAAAATACTTTTACTTGCAACCTTGAAGAGTAGAAAATTTGAACCAAATACAGTTGAATTCAAATCCCCTTAAGTCTTGAGATTTTGCAGCATAAGGAAAAATACTGTGGCAGGCACAAGGAGCAAGGGAGAAAGCTACTTGGCTCACCCTCCATGTCAGAGCTCAAGGAACACTGCCTGTTCTTGTCTGCTGGCTATTTTTGTGCCTGGATGTGTAGTTCTGCTTGATTAGAGGCTGTGAAACCTGAGAGGTCCTGGATTGCTTCACTTTCCTTCACGGTATGATGTATTCTCTTCCTTGCAGTGCACTCTACACACTGCCAGTCCCAGCCCAGGTTCTGCTGCCTGCAGATGTGCAAGGCTCTGCTTTAAAGGGACAGGGCCTCCAGATGGGAATTCCTCTTGTCTGGGGGAACGTGCAAGAGCTCTATGCAACACATTTAGGTTAAAATCACATCTTTGGGAATCACTAGCAGGATTCCCACTCAACCCAGCTGTTCTATGCTAGCTGGAGACCACAGACCTCCTGCTTTTGAACAGCCTTCACTTCTTTAGCTAGAAAATAGTTCTGCATGAAGTCTTTCTCTCTTTTAAAAAGCATCAGCTACTAACAGATTTACTTGCTCATTTTTGGGCTGGAATTTTCAGAACACAGGTTATGCTTTTGTTACTGGAAACCAGTGAGGCACTTTGTATTTTGTTACCCTCAAATCAAGATTAGCTCCCTATAGCAAACACCACAGTGACCACTAACTAGTATTTCTTATGGAAAACCTACACTGTTACTTTATACTGGAGTATGAAATATGTCCATTCACCTTCCAAGTTCTTACAGAAAACAGCAATGTGTACAGTGATATATCATCCCATTTCACATTTCATTTCCTCATTTCATTCCTGAATCATCTTCAACTGAACCCTAGTGTTAAATCAGACTCTACAGCACAAGATGTGAAAGGTAATATTGAAAAAAAACTCCTGCTAAAAAAATTAACTTATGCTAACAGTAAAAGATCAAAAGCATTTATGTAATTAAAAATTGAGAGCACATATAAAACAAACAGTGCATTGTGCTTTCAATTAAAAATGT